CGTGTGTGATTTGGTTTGTTTCCCTTTTTTTTCCCCTTAAACCGCCTCAGAGGAGCCCGGTCCCGCGGCCGCTCCGCCTCTCCCGCGGTTTCTCCCTGCTGCCGGCATCGCCGTCCGTTTTGTGCCTTTTCTCCCACCGAAACCCCGTACCGGAGCTCGGAGGGAAGGAAACAAAAAATCCGTTAAAAATAAGAAAGCGGGGGGAAAACCCAAATTAAAAATCCCCCGGTTGTTCGTTTGCATTTGGGCCGCGGTGGGGTCGCGGGGGCTGGTTTGTTTGTTTTCTTTTTCACACCCCCCGGCGATTCCATAAACACCCGTGGGGAGCAAAGAGCTGGAGCATCCCCTCTGCCCGGCACCTTCTTCGGAGCCCTGGCGAGGGATGGGGAGGAGGGGGAAAAGGAGCTGTGGGTCGGGGGGGGCCCGGCTGGCACCGTGGGGGCTGCGTGGGGCTTTGTGCGCGGGGCGGGGGGTGCCGCATTGTTTGCCGGTGCTGTGAACACGCACACTCGCGCACACACTCGCACTCACCTCGTGTCCCCCCGCCCCAATAATACGGAAATTTCCATGTCCCAGCTGCCTTCCCCTTTTAACCTTGGTATTAATTTAGGACGGATCTTTTTAAACAGCCCTGTAATGCATTCAGACGCTGCTGGAGGTTTATCTTTTTCTTTTTTTTTTCTTTTTTCTTTTTTTTTTTTTTTTGTACCGTGGGTTATATTTACACCCAAAACAAAATAATTACACTTTTGTTGGCGAGAGAAAGCTGGTGATTAGACTGTGGCTCTTTGCAGCAAACCCTTTCTCAGTGGTACACCAGGACAATTTTTCACGGCTGGGTGAAATCAGACGCGGGAGGTAATGAATCCTGTGAGCTATTTAAATTTACAATTTGTAACGCAGTCACTCAGAAACGCCTATGGCCCGGCGAGGAGATGCTTGCTGGGTTTGTTTAATGTTAAAACCTGCCCCGTCCCCCCTCGTACCGGGGGAAAGGAGGGGAGCGCGGGGGGAGCAGCCTCGCCCGCCGGAGGAGCGCGGAGCGGCGCGGAGCCGCCGCCTCCCACCGCGCCCGGGCTCGGCATCCTCGGGCCGGGCAGAGCCGCGGAGCCCGGCCCCGCTCCGCGCTCCTCCGCGCTCCTTTTCACCGCGTAGGTCGCCGCCTACAACCCCCCAAAATAGTTGGAAATATCTACAAAGTCGGCGGCGGAGCATCCGAACAGATAGATAATTAATTACAAAACACAGGGGGAATATGCAAACCGCGTATTACAAATTCTACAGGGCTTAACTGATTGGAAACAGATTATTATCTTGTTTGTCATTTGTCTGTTTCACTTATCCCTCTGCCGTCTGTTGTGTTGTAAGTTGATACACTTTATTCTTGAAAGGGGATTTTTTTTTCCTTTAATAATATAGTAAATTCCATCAACATCTTGTATAAGCGACGCTGCTTCTCCACGCATTACCCTGTTAAAACACAAAAGGTTTATTAGTTACATATAGGCGGTATTATGGGGCCTGAATTACCATCTGTTACCATGGGGGAATGTGGCTGGGAGGGGGGTGTTGCTTGGGGCTTGTGAGGTGTTTTTTTTTCCCTCCTCCCCTTCCCCTTGGATTTATTTATTCCTTGACTTTCAAACGAAAAAGGGAGCCGAGCGCGGCCGCGGGAAGCGGGACCCCCCGGCATCGTCCTCCCGCATGGGGGTCCCCAGCTGGGGGTCCCGGCTCGGTGGCGGGGCGGGCTGGGGAAGCACCGGGCGGCCGGGAAGGGGACCACGGGTGTGTTCGGGGCCGTGGGAGCGGGACACGGGGGCGCGCAAGGCCGCGGGAGGGGAGCGCGAGTGCGCGGGCACAAGCGAAGGTGCGGGTGTCGCCTCCCGCACCCTTCGCGGATCACCCGTGCCAATTAAGATTATCCATACGATTATCCATCCATAGGAGCGCCTCACGGCGCGGGACGTGGCGCACACACCCTCCCACTCCCGCACTCCGTGGGTCAGCCCCGAGCTGCCCCCCCCCGCGCCCGCCTTCCTGCGTGGGACGGGCAGCCCGCGGTGCCTGCGAGCGGGGCTCTGCCGCGGGGTCACGGCCACGCGTGTGCGTGCGGAGACGGTCCCGTGTGCGGGCACATCCCCCCGCACAGACACGCGTGCCGCCGCGGCTCTCCACAGACTCCACGGACTCCACACGCTCATCCCGGCGTGGTTGAGCCGCGCGGGTTTTCTCCGCGGAGCGGGGCCGGAGCGGGGCCTGCCCGGTGCTCCCGGCGCTCCCCGTGCCCTGTCCCCGCTCTCGCGCTGCCCTCGGGTCTCCTCCCGAAATCCGTGCAGGCTGCGGCAAGAGGGGCCCCCGCATATCCCCACACAGTCCCGCGGCTTCCAAATGCCCCAGAAGAGCCCAGGGACTCCCGCAAACTTGGGCAGAGCCCGACGGGAGCGCGGCCGCGATCGGTCGCGAATCCGGTCCCTTCTCCTCCTCTTTCCCGTGCCTTCGCCTTTCTTGCCCGTTTCTCCCCTTTTTAGCTTTCCGCAGTTTTAATTTTCTTTCTTCTCTCTTCCCTGGATTTTTTCCTTCTGTCTTTGTTTTATTTCTTTTCCCTCCTCTTCCTTGCTCGCTCGGTCTGGAGCTTTTCCCCCGCGCTTCCTTTTTGGTTTAAATTCTTTTCCATTCTCCCCGTTCTTTTTATTTCTTTCCTCAGTTTAATTTTCCTCTTTCCTTCTTTTTTCTTCATTTTTCCTCGTCTTATTTCTTCCCTTATTTATTTGTATTTAATTTTTCTTTCGTTCATTTATTCCTTTTTTCCTTCTTTTCATTTCTTTTATTTCCCCTTCCTCTTCTGTTGTTTTTCCGTCCGTTTCATCTTATTTCCTTCCTTTTCTTTCTAGTTTCCATTGATTTGTTTTTCTTCAATCTCCCTTTCTCTTTTACTTCCTTTCCCCTTCTCTATATGTTTTTCCGCACCCCTTTTCTCTTTTTCCTTCTGTGATTTTTTTGTGGTTTTTCTCTCTTTATTTCCCTTTTCCTTCTCTTTTTTTCCCCCCGAATCTCTTCTCTCTCTGTATTTTCTTAATTCGATTCTCGCTCTTTTCACAAACGCCCACGGGCACGTACAAAACGTCCTCCACTTCCCGACGATACCCTTGGGCCGTGGCGGGTTCGTTAAGATTTTTGGGGTGGATTTTTTTTGCCGGTACCGGGAGGGTTTCCCGGCTCCGGGATGCTCCGCGGCCGCGAAATGCTCCGGGCCGGAGCGAGGAAGAAGAAAAAAAATATATGTATATTTTTATATACAAAATTTTAGATTTTAGCTGGAGAAAAAGGCGGAGAAGGGGAATGGAGGTCCGGCCTTTACCTGCCCCACCGCCTTCCTCCCCTTCCCCGCACGGCCGGACCCCAGGGCCACCCCATCCCCTCCCTAAATCCCCGGGAAATGGAGGGAGAGGCGGCGGGGCCGCCCCCACACCGACCCCGCTGGGAACCCCTGGATGGGGCAGCAGCCCCCCGGCCCCGGGCTGGATCCCCCCCCTCATAACCTCCCCCGGCCGGGTCCGGTCCTGCCCCCCGTCCCTCCCGCGGGTCACAGCTCGGCCGCACCTGGAATTAAAGAGAAAACACAGTGTGGGAGGGGGTAGCGCCCGCCGCCCCCCGGGCCACCCCCCGAGCCACCCCCCCGGGCCGCCCCCTGCGCCCTCTCCCCCCTCGGAGCGGGGAAGGGGCGGGGGGTGCGCCGGGCCCGTGGGACAAAGGCGGGGGGGCGGTCGGGGGGCCCGCATACCTCCGGGGGAACTTTTCATCCCGCTACGCTGCGGGAAGGAGCCCCCGGCCCCCTCCCCGTCCCCACCAACCCCTCCCCCCCCCAAATCCACCCCCTCTCTTTTTTTTCCCCCACTTGTTGCTCTTCCAGACAAAAAACATCTTTCCCCCTCGTACGAAACAAATATAAACCCCCAAAACCAGGTGATGCCGTCCCCCGGAGCAACTCGGGACCCCCCGATTCCTCCCCGAGCGTTCCTTTAAAAGAAATAAAACAACAAAGGAAAATAAAAAAAAAAAAAATCAAAGGAAAAACTGTGGGACGGCGGTTTTTTGGCGGTGCCCCCCCGGCCCCCCAGCCAGGTGCGTACTCACTTCGCGGCCCAGGTACAAGCCACCCTCAACAATAGAGGCGCGTTGTTTTTTTCCCTCTGTGCCAAGCACAAGGCTGGAGCCAATTTAGATATGCTATAAATTAAGAGGTTGCCATGGCTACCGCCCCGCCATTGGCAGCATCCCGGCTGACGCGGCCCGCGACGTCACCAAATCTGAATAAGGATGCGCGAATTACTAAGGCGGGGGACAAAGCTGGCGATGGGGACAGCATGAGAGTGGCGGCGCGGCGGCGGCGGAGCACAGCGAGGCACCGGGGCTGCCGGCTGCAGGGGGGGGTTCATGCACCCCTCCCGCCGCGCCCGCTGCCGCAGAGCCCGCCAGCAGCGCGGCCGCCGCTCCGGCGGCTCCCGGGCCGCTCCGCAGGCACCGGAGGGGGATTTGGGGGGGCTTTTAGTATTATTGTTATTATTATTTCTCGGGGGTGGTTTGGATTATTTTGGGGGGGGGCGTCGTTTTTTCCCTCCCGTCGTCGAGGTTCCGGAGAGAAGAGGGGGAAGAACTTGACAGCCGCCCCGCTCCCCTCCCCTGAATTTTTTGTTATTCCCTCTTCTATATTTTTTTAATTTTTATTTTATTTTATTCGATTTTAATTTGCTTTCTTTTTTATTTTGTTTTTATTTCTCTTTTATTTTGTTCCTTTTTATTTTATTTCTTTTCGTTTGATTTCGTTTTATTAAATTTTTTTATTTTATTATTTTTTTCCTACAATCTTTTTTATATTTTATTTTATTTTATATTATTTTCCCCTGTTAGCGGGGGAGGGTTTTGCCTTTTTTTTTTATTTTTTTTTGCCGCCGCCGTGTGCCGGCGCGGGTCTGGCTTCTCCTTTTGCGCGTCTCCATCCCCCGGCGGAGGTTATGATGGTGCATTGTGCGGGCTGCGAGAGGCCGATTTTGGACCGGTTCCTACTGAACGTCTTGGACAGAGCATGGCACATCAAATGCGTCCAGTGCTGCGAGTGCAAGTGCAACCTGACCGAGAAATGCTTCTCCAGGGAAGGGAAACTCTACTGCAAAAATGACTTTTTCAGGTGAGTCGTCACCCCCCACTCCAACCCCGCCAACGGGCAGCGGAAGGCGCGGAGATTCACAACGAGCCCGGGCTCTGCTGCCTCCCTAGGGTCTCCCCGGAGCTTTGGGGGAGCTCAGCTCCCCTCCCGTCCCTCCCTGCCGGGGCTCCACACCGAGCCTGCCCCGCCGCTCCACGGGGCAGCAGTGCCCGGCCGGGGGAAGCCCCGGGGGGGACCCGGCGGCTGCGCTGCGGCCGCTGCTGCAGCCTGAGGAAGGGGCAGCGAGGCTGTGCCCCCCTCCCCAGTCTCCCCATGACCTTCCTCGCAGAGCCCCGGGCCCCGCTCCGCCGGTGCCGCCGCCCGCCCCGTCGCGTCAGGCCCCGGTGGGCACCGCGGCTGCGGCCCCGCGTGTGTCCCCCCCCTCCGGGACCCGGCCTGGCGCTCCTCGCCCCCCCTCCCGCGACCACAGGCCCCGGTGAAACCGGTGGCCAAAACCTCCCCCACCGTCCCCCCGAGGGGACCCGCATCTTAAACGCCCCTAATGACCGCGATAAGGTGCCGCTGAGGAAATGAGGGGCCGGGATGGGAAAGGGGGGGGCAAATGACTTATGACTCCTAATGCTCTCACTACATCAACGTCACGGGGAGCAGCGAAGGAGGCAGAAGTTGTGCCGCGGCCGGAGGGGAAAAAGGGGGGACCCTGCTTGGAGCTCCGGGGCCTGGCAGCCCAGGGGGACCTCGGGAACCCCGCAGCGACAGCCCCCGCTCCCGGTGCTGGAGGCAGATTTTTTGCCTCTGGGGGTTTTTTTTTGTTTGGTTGGTTTGAGGTTTGGGGATTTTTTTGTTGTTGTTCTTTTCTTTTTTGTTTGTTTGGTTTGGGGGTTTTTT